TTAGAGCCCTCCACGCTGCGGCCGCTGTCCCCTCCGGACCATGGCCGACGACGACGTGCTGTTCGAGGATGTGTACGAGCTGTGCGAGGTGATCGGCAAGTGAGTCTCCACGCGAGGGAGCGGGAGTGTGGGAAAATGCATTTCAGTGATGCCGGGGTCTTGCCGCACCCGTACCCGCTCCGGGCCTGACCCCTGCCCTCCATCCCCTCCCCCGCCCTCGTCCTCCTCACCCCTGAGTATTTATAGACGTGTACCTGGACCTCCTGCCGGGAGGCGGACTGGGGGTTCCCAACGGTCGGTGGAGGCCCACGAGCCTAGGACGGCCACCCCACGAGGCGTGGAGCCGGCTGAAATCTGCTGTCTGCATTTTATCTGACGGTTGCACAGGGACGTGGCCGAACCGATTTTATAGTTGCTTCCTGGGAACAGTTGGGGTTATTGTTACCTTGCGTGTACCATAGACTATTAACGAAAAGAGCAGCTTGCATTTCCTTTGCTTTCGTGGAGAGAAAGAGAAAGAACGGCCAGGGTTTTTTAATTGTGGGGTGTGTGTCTATTGTGCAGGATATTAGATAGATGCCTTTGTGTTCACCCCATGCCCGGATAGGAAGGGGTCATTTAAGACAGGGTGGGTTCGTTTCAGCAAATTCCTCACCTGGTGTAGACAAACGTGGAAAGAGTTGGGGGGATAGGAATTTTTAATGCCTCGTTATGCAATGACTGTTAAATCAGTGTTCGAGGCTTCCCTCGACTGTTGTTTAGGATGGTGGTTAGCGTGGTAGAGCCGTCTGCTTTGAGTCACCGAGCTAGTCTAGAATATAGAACTGACAGTCCAAATGCTCATCCTTTCATCTGTGTTGTATAATTACACTAGGGAAAAGCAGGGAATCAGATTAATCACAGTGCTGATTGAGAATTAAATCTGCAGTTCCTCATCTAATTGTCCATTCCTTAAATCTGTTTTGAATAGTTTCCTTTTCATTCTTGTCAAACAGTATTCCAAGTGCACAATCTTGCTAATCTGCTTGTGAGGGAAATGCTGGCAATCTGAAGTTGATTTCCTAGTTCAGTGTGTATTCTATGGCTTTTGAAGTTGAGGAGATAAGATTTAAGAGCAATTTTAGCTTATTTATGGATTGCTAGATAGCTATCATTGAAATATTTTACCTCTTTTTGAAAGTGGTGCTTTATTATCTATTTTAAGGTCTGCAGTTGGGAAATGAAACCAAGACCTTAGAGCAGTTGGCTCTTTCTCTTTTAAGTTGTCTGCAGTGCTGGATTTCAATTTGGTTAAGTGCTGATAACTCATTTTTTTTTCCTTCTATGTTGAGGTATTACAATATTGCCTCACAAGGTGATTGTGGATAGAGCTTGCTACACACTTTCCTCAGACTCAGTTGATAAGACGACATGTTACTCCTTGCCCCTATTGTTTGTTACATGACCAGACTGTGTATTAGAAGAATATCCAAAAGTGATTGTGGAAGTGCCCTAGAGCAGCGCTGTCCAAAAGATATAGAATGTGAGCCATATTTGTAATTTTACCTGTGTAAATTTTACTTGTATAAATTTTCTAGAAGCCACATTTAGAAGATTAAAAACAAATAGGTGCAATTAATTTTAATAAAATATTTTCTTTAACCCCATAGATCCAAACAATGATCATCTTAACATGTAATCAGTATAGAAATTATTAATGAGATATTTTACAGCCTATCTTTCGTACTCAGTCTTTGAAATCCAATGTGTATTTTATACTAACAACACATCTCAATTCTGACACTAAGCTATTTTTTCAGAGGAAATACTTGATGTGTATTTAGGTTTCATAAAATTTGCATTTGCAAAAGTAGAGTCATATGCTCAAGTTGTTCCAAACATACCTAAAAGTTTTCTAATAACAGAATCAGGTATTGCTTTCTAAATTTAAATTTAAATGAATTAAAACTAAATAAAATTCAAAATTCAGTTTCTCAGTTGGACTAGCCACATTTAAAGCGCTCAATAGCCCTGTGTAAATAGCACAATTCTAGAGAGGCAGATATGTCAAAAAAAATCCCCTTGGTTTCTTCATTCTTAACACCCAGTAAGGGTGAATTACGTGTTTCCCCAAGGCCCCCAAATGATTGTGTGTGGGGGGGTGAATGATGTTTGTTATGTCTTAGTTATATTTGATTTAAATGAGCCAGCCAAGTCATAATTGGAAACTGTGAGATTAAAATGTTAATTATATTGTGATGACGGAATATAGCCATCATTGAATCAATGTTAGGTACTAGTTCTGATTCTTTAAGGTCTGGAAAAGTGATGATATTGCTCTTTGGATATCAAAAAGAAGTGGTCAGCATCACATTAGCACAATCAATATTCTGCCAACTTATAATTGATAGAATATTCTCAGGAAACACTTCTGATAGGACTAAATTCATCTCTTCTGTTGCTTCAGAGCTGCATAAGGAGGGAGAGCAAGCTAATTTTGAGGTGATAGGTAATCTCACTACCTTAACTACTGTGAGTATGAAATCTCATTCATATCCTACAAAATCTGACTTGGTCAGTGCCATTTACATCATTACATGCAATAATGAATTCAGGGTAGCCTTTGTGGTAAAGAATGTAATGGGTTTCTTGTCCTGTGTAAAGGTTGAAGGTTTCTCCCTTAAATTGTCTCAGCATATATTGACCTGGAAATTGAAATTCACTTGAGATTTTCTTGCAGGGACCTTGACAGCATACATTTTAACTTAGAATTTGTTCAACTTTGGATTGAAACAGAAATGCCTTGAAGATGTTCATTTGTACTGAAAAGCTTTTTGTTGATTTCTATCCAAGTTCTCTGGAATTGTGATTTTCTTTTATGCCAAATTAGTATCACAAATTGGTTTTGACCCCTAGGTACTAATAGGTTTAAATTTTCACTAAGGTACTTTAAAATAGATCTCACTTTTCAAGATCAGCTGAACACCCACTGACTTCCTACCTCACCACTCTCATCCACTATCTTCAAAGGAATCATGTGCCTGATTCCTTATGAATGTTGAAAAGATGCTATCTCTTTTTTTAAAAAATTAAACTTTCCCCATGTTTCTTATTTTTGAAAGTCTTACAAAAGGTCCTTTGAATGCCTATTGTTTCCATAACATTTTCCTACCTAACATCTTTCAAGCAATTGAAACAAATCTCCAATGATGGGACCTTATCATAGTCCCAAAACTTTGTCTCAGCAAATGTAGCAATGACTGGAAAGGAAAGGTGTTATGCAAATATAGATAATTGGCTAATTTTTTTCATGGTCATTTACTGTATCTTTTGTAGATTTTTAGTTTTATAGGTAAGTAGTATACAATCAGTAATATTACATGAAGGAAATTGTAAGATGATTCATCCAAATGAAAACATAGAAATGACTACCTTCATAGTACAGCAGTTTCTGTGAAAGCAAATAGCAAAATGCACACAGTTTTCATCTTGCATAGGCTGAATATTTGCCCGAGTATTCAGTAACCTGTAACTTCTTACTTTCTAGCTTTGGTAGGACACATACTGAAATTGGAATGCTGCAGCATGACCCTGACTGAAGGATGACATGTAACGCATGCTGTATTTGTGAAGCATGCTGTATTTGCTTACACCTCAAGAGTACTTATCATATTAATTACAGTTACTTATTTATGGATCTCTCTAGTTAATAGGGAGCTTCTTGAGGGCAGGGGACATATCTTGCACATCTTTCTCCATTACTTAACATAGTGCCTGCAATGTAACAGTCTTCATTAGCTATGGAATGAATTGAGTAGTTTTAATAAAATCTCATTAAAAGGCAAAAAGCGTATTTATCAGCCTCAGAGCAATTATTGTCTGAAAAGGCTGTATTAGTTTAAAGTAGTGGTTCTCCACCTGGCTGCATATTAGAATTACCAGGGGAGCTTTTTAGAAAGATCAATTGCCATGCCCCTGTGTCAGAGCAATGAAATCAGAATCTCTGGGAATGGGTCCTGGTCATTGATAATTTTTTTTAAGCTCTCTAAATGATTCTAATGTGTGGCTACAGTTGAGAGTCATTGGCTTGTGTATGTAATGTTTTGGGACTGGCTTTTCAGAGGCTTACAGTTTTTTAAAAGTAGAATGAATGTTTTGGGGGGAGATATTGAAGCCAAAAGAATAAAACATGGATTTTATTTTCTCTGCACTGTGTTTCTGCACCCTGTTGTGTAGGAATTTTGTTTTAGCCTGTGTTTGGCTTTGATTTCTTGGGTCTTTTAAGTCTCACATTGATTCATGACACTCATCTAATGATAGCATGATGATTGTCTGATGGTTGGAACAACACAGAACAAAGATTGCTTCAATAACAGTTGATGATGGCTATCCACTAGAATGACTCACTTTAATATTAAGAAATTTATCAATTTAGTATAGATTGTGTTTGCACATACACTCACTAAAGAGTATGGTTAAGTTGCTTATATACTTTAAAGTCCGTACTTGTGGTTCCAGTAATGCTATTTACCAGAGAAATGAGTTAAATGCAGCCTTTATGTTAATACTGGATTAATAATATGTAAATATATAATTTAACATAGAGAAAATTTTAGCCTTACTATTTATACTAATTACTAAGGCTTTCACACATGTTGATTGACCCACTGATTTGGTTTTCTAGTACCACGGTGGGGGAGGGGGTGGATACTACATTATGTTGGAACATCTTTCCTAGAAATTTTATTTAGACATTGTAAGTAAACTAGTTTTTTTGTTAGGAAAAGGTCAAGTGTGAGCCTGAAGGAACTAGGAATTGTCCAGAAATGAGTAGTTATTCCATAAAGAAGTGCTTTATCAACTGACAATCATATAACAAGGTAAAAGAAACACAATCTCCAACTAACCTGCTGGTGGCCCAGAAGGATCTAAACTGTGGGGCTTAAACGGATGTTCCACAGAGGAAAAACCTGTTAAGCATAGGGTGTGGATTCTTATACACAGCAGGCCTTATTGGGAGTAGGTAAGCCGTGTTGATCCTGGTGATGAAGTTTGATTCTGGTACCATTTTGGATGGAACTGAGCTACTCAGTTGCTTTTCTGCATTTGCACAACCTTCT